ATACCAAACCCTCACGCATTATATTATATTATATTATATTATATTATATTATATTATATTATATTATATTATATTATATTATATTATATTATATTATATTATATATATAAAGAGAAATATAGGAATCGAGATAGAGAGAGAGAGAGAGAGAGAGATTGATATATAATTTTTTTTCACCGCGATAAACCCGTACAGACGATTGAGCCCGAAAGCCCCAACAATGAAGCCTAGTGTTGCCCCAGCGCCCCGAACCCCTTATGCCTTAAAACCGTTGTAGAAACTCGGTCAAGACTCTTGTGTTAGCCCTCGCAGATCCCCTGAATGTCCGCTAAAGACCGGATTCGGGCCAAGGCCCTGCTGGAATCCTTTGTCATGCCATAACCCTCGAAATCGCAAACCCAAAACCCTAGCACCCAAGGAAAAAAGCCGGGTTCCTGGACTCGCTTGGCGCCTGACTGAGGGGCCGCAAAACTCTGCCGCAAAAGAGGGCGCAGGGTTTGGGCGTTGGCACGGTGTGTGTAGGGTTTTATACTACTAGTACTACTACTACTACTACTACTACTACTACTACTAAGATTTCTGTCGGGCTGTTAGTTTGTCGAACGAAGTCTTGCGGGGCTACGCACGTCGCTTGCCCCAAGTCCTCGGTTTGGGGTTCATAAGACGTATAGGGGTTTAGGGTTTAGGGTTCATAGGGGTTTAGGGTTCAGAAGACTTAGGTTTTAGGTCTTTGGGTTGAGCGTTTAGGGCCTCGAGTCCTTAAAGCTTTGCGGCTCCGAACCCAGAAGGCTGGACCCTGAAACTTTGATCCTAGGTAGTATTAGAGAAATCCCTTAAAGGACACCCTTCTTAACCCTACTTATGGCTCTCTTAAACAGAGACCTTAGTGAGAGGGTCTATATACCCAAGGGTCCCCCTAATCCTAACTCCCACTTGAAAGCGAAGCTTCACGGCACCTTCAAAGCTAAACCAGGAGACGCCAAAGTTTTCCAGTCTCGAGCTTGTGAAGACTTACCGCCTAATGTTCCGCATTATACTTATACCATAGTCACTAGGTTCTGCACTCTAGCTACTTTGTCTTATGCTGTAATGTGCCCCACAACCCTATTTGTCTCCCTCGTATCAAAGCAACGCCTTGATAAAGTCCGATGTTACGAGACAATGCTGGGGTTTAGGGCTCCAGGCTTAGCGTTTTAGGGCTGATTGGCTGGGCCTAGGGGTTTCGGAGTTTCGGGGGTTAGGGTTTAGGGACTTTCGGATTTCGGAAGCATTGGCGTCTCTGTGAATCTGTAGAAAGGCGCTTTGGTGGTAGTTCTCGAAATCAGGGTCCCTTTTTTTGTTTGCCAACATAGTACGGCAGCCATACGAAAAAAGGCCCCTAAAAGAGACCCTCATTTGGAGAACTCCCCTCTTGGTGAGCAGAGTAAAGCTCAAACCAAGAGACTCTTTCCATGCTCCCCAACTTTCGCAAAGCCTTCAGAGTCCACACCCAACCATCCGCAACGCTCTCAAGCCCGACCATAACCCCGGACCCTAAAGCCCTAAACCGCTATACGTCCCGTGGAGAGCCCGATTATATGCACCCTTATAGCATTCCTACGAGGACTAACCCTAAACCTCCTCCCAGGACACGGTTTCAATCGAGGAAGCCATCTCAGCCATGGCGGCGTGGGAGCCAAGCTGACCTCCCAAAGTGCAGGGCAGAAGAGGATTTTCGCCAGGGCTTACGGTGGAGCGTTTAGGGTTTTAGGTTTACGGCGTCTAGGCTCGGAGTGGAGGGTTGTACCCGGAGTTGCATGGGGCAGGGCGTAGCTTGGAGGACTAGGCACTTAAGGGTCAGCATTTCGACCGAAGGGTTTGCGGCTGAAGGTTGCAGCTCTAGAGCGGGTAATATAGGAGCCTAAATGACTACCTATGGTATTTTGGAGGTTCCTTATTACAATTATAGTATAAAGAGCCCCAAAACCCTATTCTACTTATTAATACAAGGCCGCTACATTACCACCACGGCTGCGACCCTGCCGCTACGCTTGGCGGTGCAGTGGAATCCTGATAATCCGCCTTGTCGCAACTCTCGGCCGTAGCAAAGCGTGACGAGGGACGTGCAAACAAATCTAGCGCAAAAGTGCCTAACTTGCACCCTAAAACCCAAAAAAGCTTGGAGGCCTGAACAAAAATGCGGGTCAGGGATTCAGGGATTGTGCGAGTTTGCACAAAGCCAGTAGATTGGCAACTCTTGGAGGGTCGACTCTGCCTTGAACCAGTTGAAAAAATATGCAGCTCCAAGAAACTGGATCCCAGCTCCCAAGAAAAGCATGCCAATCTCTAGGTTTAGGATTTAGGCTGATTTAGGGAAGTGAGCCAAGTGCCCTGCATCCGCGAAGATTCCATCAGTCTGGCTCAAACTTCGTAGACCAATTCCTAGCTTTCCTGTACCCGGCCGCTTGTTCGACGACCATGTCGCAGCCAAAGATTACGCTAACGTCCTTCAACATGCGCACCGCCGCGGAGGAGAAAGTTTACCTGGCGCTCGTCATGACGGGCACCGAGTTTGAGAATAAGTTCGTGGATTTCATGGACTGGGGGAAAGTCGAAGCCCCCCAGACCCCCTTCAACCAGCAACCAATCATGACCGTCACCGACCCGGACGGCACCGTGAAGACCTTTGCCCAGAGCCGCTAGATAGCCCAGCGGTACCCCTTTTGCCCCTGCTGGATCATGGGCTCTCGATCAAACCTAAACCCCAACCCAGCCATTACCAGTAAGGGTATACCCTGATCATCTGGGCCACCGAGGCGCGGCGATGATGCGCTGGGCGGCCCGCAAGCTCGACAGCACGGACACCCTCTACCCGGCGGACCCCGACAAGATGCTCGAGATCGAGGAGGCCATCAGCCTCTCGGATGACATGGCCAAGGCGTGGCAGCCCGCCTTGAACATGGGCGAGGGCCTCCATGCAAAGTACGGGCACCCGCAGGTATGGCCGGAGTTTCAGGACACGGTGAAGAAGCTGCGCGAGACGTTCATTGCCGAGAGCCTCCCCCTCTTCATGTTTCAATTCTCCCACAAGCTCGAAGCCACCGGAGCCTTCTTCTGCGGTGACAAGCCCACCATTGCCGACCTGCAAATTCTGGCCCAGCTACGCTACTTCACCAGGGGTGAAGCTGACCACGTCCCGGCCGACTGCCTGGCACCTTACACGGCGGTAACAAGCTGGATGGACAGGATGTATGCCATCCCTCAGATTAAGGCCTGGTACAAGCTGTAACATGGCACTTTGCGGGCTTTAGACTGCAGTTGCGGCAGCAGCATCCACGCAAGTGGCCGGTCAAGTTGGTCGTTGCCATGAATCATGCCAGGCCTGCTTTTCTGCAGCTGTAAGAACTTCGATTTTCTTGCTGTAAGAGCCCGCGCAAATAGACGCGGTGAACTTCGAGTTCCATATTTTCAGGATGTTGCAGGTCTTTGGCTGTTGTGTTATTGGGGTTCAGCTTGGCACCAAGCCTGGTTTAAGCCTCGCGCTCTTCAAAGCAAAGCTGCCAAGCTTGCTTCATCCTGGCTGAAGTCACCTAGCAAGCAGGATTCGCGGTAAGTCTCAGGGGCCTTTTCCGAGCCCCATCCTTCTGTCAGCAAAGGTGCGCTACCGTGCCGGGCGAGACCTGAAATCGGGCTTGGAGGTGCTGAGGGCTTGGAGGTTAAAGGGGTTTGGCAGGATTTGCGGTGTTAGGTTTAGGGGTGAAAGGGGGTTTGGGGGGTTGCAAGCCTTCTAGGGCTTCAAATTAGAGGAGTGTGGTATGGTCTGTGGCTGAGGGCCTGGAGGGCTGTGGGGGTTTCCGGGTTTAGGCCAGTCGTGCATTTTTAGGTTGTCCAATCCAGACACCTAGGACCTATGACCCTAAACCCTAAACCCTAAAGAGCCCTAACATCGTACACAAAGTCTACAGTTTACCCCTCTTGTGTCTGCCAGGAGAGAGTCAGTTCTTCCCCTAAACCCTAAGCCTCAACGCCTCTGGAGGTTCCCCCCCCCCCCCCC